TGATAAGGTAAAATCATTTTGTTCTCGCTACAGACCCAGAGAGTGTAAGAAATGTGTAACGGAACGCTTACCTAAATAGATTTACAGTCAACTTCGCTAATCGTAATAGTGACTGCGGATATAACGACAATTCGCGAATAACGAGAGAATGTCAATGCCCAGAGCAAAGTCCCATCTAATTGTAATACATAATAATTATTATAGTGAGACATCGGGTATATGTGGAGAGCTTGGGTTGCAATGAAGCCGAGACCCTATGGTCGGTCAAGCTGCCCCTGCCTCTCCCCCACTCTTGCCATTATAGCAATAAAAACTGCTTTATGGCAGTTTTCTAAAAAAAGTTATTGTGTTCTAGTCCATGGACCCCGTCTAAAAAGTAAGAAATTAACGAAATGTGATAGCCGAAAATTAAAATTTCACACAAAACCTCACAATAATCACAACAGTTGAAATGCTGCTTTCAACACTAAACTTGTACTGCACCAACAATTGGCAACATGCATGTCATGTATGCATAGGAAAGAGGATCACGAGGGGAAAAGGTCTTCTACATGTAGCTTTTCATTCTGTGTGTGATTATTGTGAGGTTTTGTGTGAAATTTTCATTTTCGGCTATCACATTTCGTTAATTTCTTACTTTTTAGACGGGGTCCATGGACTAGAACACAATAACTTTTTTTAGAAAACTGCCATAAAGCAGTTTTTATTGCTATAATTTATTTTGTTTTTTCTGTCACCAATCAATGGAATGCCGTGTATATCAATATGTAAATGATGGCCTTCACATCTGGAATGCCCTCCCAGCGGAGTTCCGCTCAAGTTCTTCCTTGCATACCTTCCGTAATTCTGTTCTTCATTTTTTATGGTACCCTGTCAAAAGGCCTTAGGCCTGTGGGGATTGCCCTATCAAAAATTTAATAATAATAATAATAATAATCATATCAATACCGTATTATACGCATTGAGGTGCAAGTCTTTTCTTGCAGAAAATGGCACTAGGCTAGCATGTTCTTCTGCGGGGAAACATGTGAGTAGTGATGGACCGTGGTGATACTTTTTTTATACGGAGGTCATTCTGTGCATGTTGCTGTTGCAGAATTTCATGACTCTGTCATAAAATTGTCTTGCCTTTCAGATATTTCAGATTTCCCCACCCTGGATCAGGTTTATTTGAGAAATGTAACCAGGTGCGTGTCGCAGATGTTTTTGTTGATTCTGTGTTTATAATGGTTTATAATCATGGGTTATCGTGATAAGGTCATCCTGCATCATATTGCACTGAAATCGTAATCCTGTTGATGTCGATACAACTTTTGGAAGTAGTTCAATGACTTCAAACTGTTAGTCCACGATTTTCTAAAACAACACAGCAAAGGAGGAACAATAAACATGTATTAAAATGTAAACAAATACATTGCTGAGTCCGACACCTCGTTCCAACAACTACACTGATCCTGAGGATAAAAGGGGCAAGGCTATGCTTGGAGGTACTGAGAGATAAACAAGGCACTCCATAAATAATAAAATCTTACACATATTTTGGTGAGTATGAATGATATCCAGTCGAACCTCTTTAGGACGAACACTAAGGGACCGATGGTATTTATTCTGTGAGTTTGTCTTAAAGAAAGGTTTGCTCCCCACACCGGAGTTTGTTTTAACCTATTTTATATAACCAGTGAATACAATTATTTCTCCAATAGACATACGAATAGATTTCTTCTACAGCAAAAGATTCTAAGCCACACCAACTCATTGACTAGTCTTGTATGAAACAAATGAGTCACTAGAGAGGTTCTGCAAAACGAAAATGCGTACAAACTTTCGTTCTACGTCATGAAGTGCGAAACCTCGCACGAACTTTGGACGCGAAACTTGCAGGGAACACGAAATGAACTGTCGTAGGAAATTTCGTGAGATCGGGTCATGGCGTACGTGCACTTGGCCCGCGCAAACTACGAAAATGTGCAGAACGCAAAGTTCGTGCAAAAATTTGTACACACTTTCGCAAGGACTGTCGCGAAACTTCGTTCGAATTTTCGTTTTGCAGAACCTCTCTACTGAACGTTTCTTTAGCAACATGACGGCAACTGAAACAGCAATAGAGAAAGTACGATACATGTACAGCACATTCTTGCAGGTACTACAAACAGATTGCAGATCGTAATTCTTGCTTTGGCGGCACGAAACTTTATTTGGAGCAGTGCAATCTCGGCGGTACTCACAAATAATAAATCAAACAGCCCCAGACTCGAGTAAACAAATCCAATCACACAAGTACGAGATCTTCACGAGACGAAACTGCACCCATTGGCTTGTTTCGTATGAAGCAAACAAGTTTACTGAACCTCTCCACAATGGAGATTTTCCCTGATACCGTATGCGAATTTATTTTGCAAACTCAGTCAATGGGTCCTTGAATCTTTCCCTCCAGATAGGGAACTGCCAACGATAGTATGCCACTGACCAGTGCCTTACTTGTAACGTACCAGTGTACAATGAATATGAGTATTTCGACAACACATCTAACATGACCCTTACCGTCAAGAAGGTGAACTCGCGTTCTTCGCACACTGTAGACAAGGGCAAAGAGATAAAAATGGATCTAAATCCGAATAAAATCAGCACACGTTTCCGTAAATGAAAGGGTGAGCATAAGCAAATGAATCGAAGGAAACAGGTCAACTCAGAGATCACCTGTCATCGAGTATTCCGTAAAAGGAGGCCTCGGCAGCGGAAAAGCTAAATTTAGAAAGGAGATCCTGTCAGCTTTTCCATTATTTATTGCATTCCGCCCAAAATCAGCACACTTTTCGTAAATGAAAGAGTCAACACAAGCAAATGAATCAAAGGGAACTGGTCAACTCACCTGTCATTGAGTAATATTCCGCGAAAGGAGGTCTCAGCAGCACCGAAACGAAATAAGCCAGGCCAGGAGACGAAATATCCGAAACAGCTCATACAAGAAGCAGTTCCAAAGAAGGAAGTTCCTCGCGCATGCACATCCGAACACGGACTTCAATTCACTGCATGCAACACAATGTCTGCCGGCTGCCGTGCACGTGCACAGCACGCGGCTACCACCCGTTGGCGTTGGTAGATCTAATACCGAGCACCTTACGTAGAGACTTACGTAGCCTAAGTGAAATACCGAGCACCTTACGTAGAAACTTACGTAGCATAGCGATGTCGTTTTTCCTGCCATGTGAACACAATAATAGAAAAGCTGACAGGATCGCTTTTCTAAATTCAATATGTCCCATCGCTGCCTTGCTGCTTTGTGCCGTCAAATGGTGTGTTTTTGTTTTTTGTTTAAAAAAATAAAATAAAATAACGACACTTGGTGAACAAGGACACTTTTCTGACGCCCCGCCGAGTGTCGCGTTATGCAAAGTTGACTGTAGATGTACATGTAGGTAACTAGTACATGATTGTATAGCATGGATGATGAGCGCTTCGAGTTGGGGGCAGATACAGGCAAGGGGATACAGGGGAAGTCGGATGCGCTGGATTATGAGAAGTGGGGATCTAGTCAACTAGCAGTATACTGTAAAAAGTGAATAAATTTTAAGAAGATCGTTGTGCTGTTGCCCATATGCTAACTTAACACGGGATCTTCACCTAAATTTAATTTTCTCAATTGAAAAGAAAGAAAAATCTCACTGAAGATGCATTTTTTCTCAGATCACAGTCTTGCAAAATAATACATGTACATGTATTATTTAAATAAAGACAACCAAGGCAATAGCCGCTGGGTAGCATATTTGGGTAATTGTAGTAACCTAGAGCATCAGCTCCAAAATGTGATAAATATTTCTCAGAACTCGCGGACTCTATTGCAGCCACTCTGATAAAGAACTAGTAATAACAATTATGAGATAACGTGGGTGTCGGGGGATTGGGGGGGGGGGGGGATATAATTATCATTTCAAAAATCTGTATCTGCACTACGTGAGAGATGATACTGACTTCACTCAGCGGAGAGACTCAGCTTGGTGATATTCTTCGCAATGAGCTGGTGCAAGTCCTGAATGCAGAAACAAGCAACAGCATAGAAGACATATTTAACATGGTGGAAAATACACACCTGGCAATATGATGGTAAATACACGCCTGCCCACACACGCTATCTTGGTTTTTTTTATGGAGTCGTGCATTTACCGCCATATTGCCAGGTGTGTCTTTAAAATAAACTCACTGTTCGCGTGAGACTCGGCCAGAGGCCCAGTTTTCCGCATCCGCAGGAACGCCACCACCCTCTTGGATCAAGGCGCAGATGCAGCTCCTGAGCGGTGGGAGGTGAGTAGATCAAACCCACCACAAAGTTGTCAAAGACCGAAAAATCCATGTGTCTTTACCACCATAATAAACAAACATAAATACAGCTGCAGTGGTGTCTTCAACTTCACTAGCATAGAAGACAGTTTAGTTGAGTTTAGCTCTACTCCAAGCAATACATGGCTGGGGCAGCCAATGATCACTTTGCGTGGCGATTGCGGTTTTTTTACAGCCAACCGCGGCTAGCAAGGAAAATGGCAAGAAGTCGAAAAGAAAAGGAAAAGAAGAAGAAAAAGCAAAAATAGTTAATGTGGACTGCAATTGTGGTCTAAAGCAAGGCGTAACAAGGACGCATTAAGATCAATCTACATGTACACACACACACACAACAGAGGCGAAAGGCTGTGTAGCTCCAACTTTACGTTTCACGCATTTCAGCGATCATCAGACAACAGCATTCACCTAGACCGGCCTTGTTTCATGTACATGTACATGTAGTTTCCAGCAAAATCAATCCCAGCCCTTGAGATATTAGATAGCTCTGCTAACCGGGTACCGAGCGGTGACCAGCGGAAGCAAATGCGTTTTGACGAATATCCCCTTTGTGTTCATCTGCAAAAATTGGGTGCATGCATTTTTCGTCTATTTTCATTTTCGGCATTGGATTCTGAGGCCGTAAATTTGTTGCAGCTGAAATATTTGTTTGCAGGGTAGAGTATGCCAGGGTTTATGGTCAGCAGCAGTACACGATGAGATTTTAATGTTGCCAAAAAGTCATTTAGACCTCGGAGGCTGAAAACAATTTTTTAACATGCTGCAAATTCAAATTTGTAGTCGTACATTATCTGGCTACGTAAACCTCTCTCTCTCTCTCTCTCTCACACACACACACACACACACACACTCTCCCTCTCTCTCTCATTTCTACAGAGCGTAGTTCTGGTAATGAAGCCGAGACGGCTTGTCAGCTGAGCTTGATTTAATCCACTGGCACAGCCACCCTGCGTAACCATGGTAACCCCTGAAGGCTTAAAGGAGAAGTTAAGGGAAAAATTAAAATTCCACCAGTTGTAGTCTTCGGGGTGCTGAGTCGAATGGTCTTGGTCCGAGAAAGCTGAGATGCTCCCTTCCTACTTGAATCCCAATCGAACTCGCGCACTTCCACCGAAACTGGGTGACTGCGCCCTACTAGATGGGGATTTGTACGCAAAATGTCACTAAAAGCGCCATTTCGTTCTTATAAAAGCACGGATGACCGCCATTGGCTCATATGTTGTACTCTTTTGGACGCTGAGTCGACTGGTTTTGGTCCGAAAAGGCTGCGATGCAGCGTTCCTCCTTTATTCCCAATCGAACATGGTTGAACAAGCGGTCACGTGCTCCTGGGTGCCCAAATCACCTGGTCACCACGCCAGCAGGCGACAACTTTCACGCCAAGGTTCAACTCGAGTGACAGGTCTGCACCCAAAAAAGGTCAAACAGGCTAGTAAGTTGTACCCTACAGGCACGGTGACCAGGTGACTGGCGTACGACTACAACATATGGGCCAATCGCGGTCATCCATGCTTTTATAAGAACGAAATGGCGCTTTTAGTGACATTTTGCATACAAATCCCCATCTAGTAGGGCGCAGTCACCCAGTTTCGGTGGAAGTGCGAGAGTTCGATTGGGATTCAAGTAGGAAGGGAGCGTCTCAGCTTCCTCGGACCACGACCATTCGACTCAGCACCCCGAAGACTACAACTGGTGAAATTTTAATTTTTGCTTCCCCTTTAAGTTTTTCCTGCTTCTTTTTCCTTAATGAATCATACGTAGGGTTACGCTTGCCATAAATAGAAAAGAGAATATAGCAATAATAGAGAGGTTCCGCATAACTTAATTACGTTAGTACTTCCTCCGTTAAGCAAAACTTCGTTGCGTTTTTACAGTTCAGTCCAAATCATTCTATGGCTACGAACACGCTTTGCAAAGTGGAAAATAAGGTAGCATATGAAAGATATTCATTTACAGATGTCACACAGCTCGTTTCAAAGCAGTCCAGCTTCACTCTTCGTCTGAATCTGATGACGACTCAATCCCTGATGACATCGAGTCTGCATCCTTGCCGGCTGTCGCCGCCAGCGCTGCCAGCTTTTGTTCCGCAGCCTTTTCAAGTTTCCAAGACACGATAATTTTGATCGTGGAGATCGCCAAGTACTTCGCTCGAGCTGTGCCCTTGACGACCTCCACGGTGGCGCTGGTAGTTGTGGCCACTCTCCGGACCGCCATGGAAGGAGGCATACAGACCCAAACAAACGCTCGCCATTTTCGCAGCGGTGTGTCGTGCTAGCACGTTTCCACACCCTGCAGAACCTCCTTTCTGGTTTCCTTCGCCACGTGTGACACGTCTGTCTACAGGCTGTGGAAGAACGCCAAGTCGTCTACGTTGAGATCAGGATTTTGCGCCGAGTGAACGACAACCTGAATGTCGAACGCTTTTGATTTCCCCTGCGCTGCAAACACAAGTGCATTGATTTTGGCTGTGTGCGGATGCGCACCATCGACTTGTGCTAGTACCATGAGTACAGCAGTGCCTGAGCGCTGGCCGGCTCCTGGACACTTCTTCGAGCCACGCGGTCTTTCAAACTGTTTCTCATTTTCGCACTTTGGTGTCATGCGCGCGCGCCTGGGGTTGTGTTCTGGTGACATCCTGTCGAAAAACGGTTCTGCTTCGCCGATTTTTTTCAAAAGACTCCACGCTTTTCGGAGGTTCAAAAGCCTGTCAGAGCAATATACGACAACTCAGCTACTCTATGTAGGGGATAGATCACTGACATGTATGTCTAATGCCGACAGAAATACCATGACAAGAACACTAAAAACGCAACGAAGTTTTTGCTTAACGGAGGAAGTAAAAAACATAGTCGATCTATGGAAAGTCTTAAGTAAACTGCATGCGGATCTCTGTTCCGCCATACAGAGTTTTCAAATCACGTAGCTGCCCTTGGCAACTCCGAACGCGGCAGTGTACGACCAGATCGACCTGGGGAGGGAGTCATTAATGTGTATCCCAATCCACTTACGGACCACCTACGTTATCAGAACCCTATCTACGTACTCTTCGTAGACAACTTTCCGTAAGTGGAGTGCAAACGCACGAATTCACGGGTTTTTCCGGCCCACTCACGTAAAGTTGCTCAACTTTACGTAGTGCGGAACATCTCTAATACCCATAGCCTGGTGTCTTACCAATGGAGGGAGCTTTTTCAGCTCCTCATAGTTGTCCGGTTTCAGCATTTCGTCGAGAGGCTCCTTCGGCTTGGCGTAAATCATTGCATGGCATTTCTTTACCATGACCCAGTACTTGATTTTTGTCTGGGCACTCACTTGATGTTTAAGCAGGCTGAAATACTTTTCAGGCAACTTGATGAAGTGACGCATCTGAAGAACGGGCTACAGCCAGTAAAAGAACCAAACAAAACAGAAGCAGATATGGGAAATATGGCATCGAAAGAAAAACGTTTATGAATCACACTTTATACATTTTTAAATTTCATGATTATTACATGGTACAATGTTGGCATCATTTGTTCTATTTATCGCATTGTTAAAACTCCTTTCGCCGAAACGCCACTTTGTATATGGGAAACCGTCACCTTTTTTAATTAAAGCGAGGTATGGGAGCCCCTTTAGGAGCCGCTTTAGGAGCTGCATGTGCGCCTTAGATCTTCGCAGGGTAATGGCGTTCCCACGGATGCTGAAAACTCAGTCTAACTCAGTCCGAAGTGAACCGTGAAATAATAATTGGAGGAAGAATACATTTTATTGTGCATTACTGGGTCCTTTTTTTTCCTTTTTTTTTTACCCTGGTGAAGGAAATCAAATCAAAAACCCAGGTGATCAGAGTAATCTCAGGTGCCGATAAACACCTAGCGCCAAAAATCACATCAAATTCTACACCGCCCCAGGAGCATACCTGTTTTGAGAAGAATACACCCTACATACAACAACCGTGTTAATGTAAAGAAGAAGAAAAAACAAAAGTCTGGAATGGTGCATGTGAAATCGTAGAATGGAAAATTGTGGGCACAAGTTATGCGTTCGAGTCCGCCAACTAAACCAGAGTTTGAACAGTCAGACGTGCACAATCTAGCACAGAACTGAACAGGGAGAACTCAGACAGCGACCACTGGACAAGCTGACTTTCATGCCATGGAATGTCTCAGTACTCCGTGCCAGTTTTGGAAAAATGAGAGAAAGGTGGTTGCTTTTCTATTGTACATCAGCACAGTTTCTCCTGAGCAGCGGCGGCAAGAGGCAAAGCAACAGCACCACTATGACCACTGACCTTGGTCGGGCTATGGGAAGCCTCCGCTGTCGATGCGCTGGACAGTCCTCTCTTAAACAGCCAATATACGTACTTCATCACCCTCAGAAATATATCGGGATGCCCTGGCTGCAAAATCGGGTGCACGCTCTTAGCATTGTCGTCGCCAGCTGAGGTTGCGCTCTGTAGCTGCTGGAGATCCAGTAGTATCTTTGCTGAGCTCCGAACAATTAGTCTAAGCACGCAGTTGAACACGGTGCTGTATCTTTGGCCAAAGTCGGGACTCAGGCAACCGTGGCTATACAACGTGCGCACACTCTCCACTGCCGTTTCCTGAAAATACTCGTGGATCGCTTGAGGGAGCAGATCATCATCCGGATCATCCATCAGCTTGTTGATGAATGATGAAGTCAGTGGGTGAAGGTGCGATTTAATCAAGGGTGCCTTTTCGCCCGACTCTGTAGTCTTCGGTCGATACTGTGCAGAATCACAGACATGAAATCCAAACATCCCAGATTTTAAAGTTAAAAAATTACATGAATACAGCACTGTAAAACCGGGAATTTTCGGTGGTGTAATAATTTCGGTGTTTCCCCCAAAAATCAACGGTTCTGTAGCGCAAAATTTCGGTAAACCAGTTTTCCGAATCCAAATACGCATTCTGCACACTGTGTAACACGGCATGGTTGATCTTTAGGTCGTGTTTTATTTTATGTGAGAATTACCTGCACCGAAGTTAAGAAAACGCATGAGAACGCGTTATGGAGCAACTATCCACGACTGTAACAAGATGATAAACTGTCAGAAAGTGGATAGTTGCTGCATAACTCGCTCTCATGTGTTTTCTTCTCTTTTTTATAGGTATTACTGGCTCAGTGTCCGAGTTAAAATTTTGTACTGAAGTTACCGAAAATAAATCCCCGCCGAAATTCTCCGGTTTTACAGTATAACTTATGGGGCCTCCGCAAACTATTGAGTGCCTTCCTGGAAGGAGGAAATGTCAATTGTGTAGAAAGGACAAGCTGAAACTCAGAACCCTACCCATTACACAGACTGCACCGCATTGCCACGAAGAATTCGACACAATCTTCCTCAGCCTACTCAAGCTCAACTGATGAGGGGTGAATTACACGAAATACTGTGTACTGAGCAGGGAGTGGTGCATTCTCGCAGGTTTGCCGAGTGGACGGTTCGATGGACTTCTCGCGTGCTCTGGATGGCAGTCGTGAGTCAGTCAAGTGAGAATTCAAGTCGGCAGGAAAACCGCGAGCTCCCATGTAGGGAGCAACACACTCTTCCCCAAGAAGAATTCAGTGGAAATAATTATTGCTTAGACACTGGACTCTACCGGGAAGAAGGGGTGGGGTTGGGGGAGGGGGGGGGGTACGGGTTGTAGTGGGACAAAACGACAACTTGAATATTGCTTTTCCCTTTGCTTCACTTACTCAATCTCCTTGTCTGTCTGTCTGACTGTCTGTCTGCCGGTCTGTCCGTTTGCGTCTCCCTCACTATCTCTCACACACACTTGTACTTGTACTTGCTCACTGCCAAAACTGGTCACGTGGGTCTCCCCGGGAGAGGGGGGAGAGACCCAAAAGGAATCTTGGAAAGATGACTCAATTGGCCATTGAACCACCCAACGGCCGACACCCCCTGAAATCACCAAACTAGGGTGGACGAAATGATCCCACTTAAGGGCTCACCACACCTCAGTAAGTGGGTGAGGACAAGGTGCAGAAAAAGGATTGACGACATCAGGGTATCCGTCCCGGGATCCAACTGCAGGTACCCCTGCCCTCAGTGAAGGTAATACTTGGTTCTAGTGTGGGTGGCTAAATCAGAGTGGATCTGATAAAAGCTTCACTAGCACCATTGATTACATAAGAGTTAAAGGGGAAGTTAAGGCAAAAAATAAAATTTCACCAGTTGTAGTCTTCGGGGTGCTGAGTCGAATGGTCTTGGTCCGAGAAAGCTGAGACGCTCCCTTCCTACTTGAATCCAAATCGAACTCGCGCACTTCCACCGAAACTGGGTGACTGCGCCCTACTAGATGGGGATTTGTATGCAAAATGTCACTAAAAGCGGCATTTCGTTCTTATAAAACACAACGACAACTTTCACACCAAGGTTCAACTCGAGTTCAACTCGAGTGACAGGACTGCACCCAAAAAAGGTCAAAACAGGCTGTAAGTTGTACCCTGCAGGCACGGTGACCAGCTGAATGGTGTACGCAGGAGCACGTGACCGCTTGTTCAACCATGTTCGATTGGGAATAAAGGAGGAACGCTGCATCACAGCCTTTTCGGACCAAAACCAGTCGACTCAGCGTCCAAAAGACTACAACATATGGGCCAATCGCGGTCATCCGTGCTTTTATAAGAACGAAATGGCGCTTTTAGTGACATTTTGCATACAAATCCCCATCTAGTAGGGCGCAGTCACCCAGTTTCGGTGGAAGTGCGCGAGTTCGATTGGGATTCAAGTAGGAAGGGAGCGTCTCAGCTTTCTCGGACCAAGACCATTCGACTCCTGCACCCCGAAGACTACAACTGGTGAACTTTTAATTTTTGCCTTAACTTCCCCTTTAATCTAGCCAGAAGCAGTCCATGGTTAACAGGTATGTATACTTCAAATAGAAAGTATATGAACCCTGAAACCAACAAAGGTGGTAGGTACAACAATACACCTTCAAGTAGCCGAGCCCGTTGGCAACAGGCCCAACACTATCTGGCATAGGTGTACCCACCAACCGAACTAGCTGGCAACCACACACACACACACACACACACACACACACACACACACACACACACACACACACACACACACACACACACACACACACACACACACACACACACGCATACACACACACACACACACACACACAGCAAGGTACCTATCAGCAATGATTCTCTTAGACAATGCATAACAGTCCTTACATCATAGATGGGGTTCGGAATCGTTGACTTGCGCTCAGCCTTCAGTTTGACCTTCTCCTTGTCAGTCACATACAAGAGTCGTGCAAACGCTGGACAGAGAGCCCTGCAGTAGTCCATGCTGCTGCGAATGGGCAGCTTACCTAGTTTAGCGTTCTCTTCCAGGTAACACGCCATGAAGAAGGTGAAAAGCGAGGGGCCAAGGCCAGGAATATAGGACGTCTTCTCGTTCCGTTTTGAGGCGGCGAGGGTGTACACATTGAAGCTATTCTTCCACTTGGACTGGCGGATGTTTTCAAGAAGCCCTCCGGCATAACAACAGTCCATGACGATAACGGCATTCCTACACAGAGACATGAGCATAGGATTTAGTACACACAAAACCACGCAAACAATACTTACACTCCCTTTCTTCTTCCACTGCCATGACTGCCTATGTGGTACCATGAGGGGCAGACCAGGAGGTCTCCCCGGAAGAGGGGAGAGAGACTCAAAAGGAATCTTGGAAAGATGATTCAACTGGCTATTGAGCCGCCCAACGGCCGACACCCCCTGAATCCCCAAAACTCTGGGTGGACTTGAAAATGATCCCACTTATGGGCTCACCACACCTCAGTAAGTGGGTGAGGACAAGGTGCAGAAAAAGGATTGACGGCATCAGGGTATCCGTCCTGGGATCCAACTGCAGTTACCCCTGCCCCCAGTGAACGTAATACTTGCTACTAGTATGGGTGGCTAAATCAGAGTGGATCTGATATAAGCGTCACTAGCACCGTTGATTACACAAGAGTTAATCTAGCCAGAAGCAGTTCATGGTTAACAGGTATGCATACTTCACACAGAAAGTATATGAACCCTGAAACCAACAAAGGTGGCAGGTACAACAATACACCTTCAAGTAGCCGAGCCCGTTGGCAACAGGCCCAACACAATCAGACATAAGTGTACCCACCAACCGAACTAGCTGGCAACACACACACACACACACACACACACACACACACACACACACACACACACACACACACACACACACACACTGACACACACACACCCAATATACACAATGCCCTCCCGACTAAGCTGTCCAGAGTATTGCCCATTGTTAGGCGTGGGTGCACAAATCTGAAATTGACAGTATGCTGTTCATGGAATGCATCTCAGCTTGGAAAGACAAGGCTCTAAATGACGTACAACTTTACCAAGTTGCATTAGAGCGATGTACAGTGTCAGCGAAGTGGGCATTGGATGTTGAAAAGCAAAAAATGAAAGAAAATATTTCCTGATCCTGATCGATTACGGAAGCTCATCCCAGCAACGATAAAGAACTAGGGATAGAACTAAATACGTGTTGGCTTTAAATACCATTCATCGTCATTACATTACTCTTGTGACCACGCATTTCTTTACAAGGCAGAGGGAAAGAAAATTCCTACCTGCCTTTGCAGGTGCCCAGGCTGTCTACGAACAACGATGCGCCCATCCGTTGAGGATCAGCCGCCGCTATGTAGAATTCCTCAATCTCATCCACGTTCTCATCCACGTTCTCTGCCACGTTCTCTGCCACGTTCTTGTCAGGCTTCTTTTGACCACCATGGCCGCTAAAGGAGAAGAAGAGTATTCCGTTGTCCTTAACCTTCAGAATTCAACAGCCACAGGCCAAACAAACACACACACGCATGCATGCATGCATGCATGCACGCACACACACACACACACACACACACACACCATTTGAACATTTGACGCCCATTGCGGGAGGCGATGATAGCGATGCTACAGTAGAAGCCATAGCAGCTTGTGCTGGGATTACACCATTCAACAGCTTGCAAGGCTGAAGAATTGACCGCCACTACTCAGCCTGGTCTACACCACACAGCTATGAAGTGGCTTTTTCTGGCCAATGAATCCCCCCCCCCCCCACACACACACACACATACACACACATACACACACACACACACACACACACACACACACCTTCCTTCCTTCTTCCACTGCCACGACTGGCTATGTTGCACCATACGGGGCAGACCAGGAGACGTGTTGTACACCGGGCGGGGAACGCCAGACACGCGTGCGTGCACACACACACACACACACACACACACACACACACACACATACGTGCACGCACACGCACCATACACACACATATGCGCACGCACACGCACACACACATACACACACACACAAACTGTAACTGCTCACTGCCACAAACTGACCACTCAGGTCTCCCCTCGGGAGAGGGGAGGGAGATTCAGAAGAAATCTTGGAAGGGTGACACACACACACACACACACACACACACACACAGAGACACAAACACACACACATACACAAACACACACACACACACACACAAACACACACACACACACACACACATACACACCCAAACTCACTCACATACACACACACACACACACATGTACAAAATGGCAAATTTCTAGAAGTTTCCCCTTGGGTAGAGTGGCAGAACTGTGCGCTATTAAAACCGGACAAGGGGGGGGGGGGGGAGGGGCACACAATGCCAAGGTAGGTTCAGTACACAGCTACATTGTAGTTATGACCAACCTTTGCTGCCTGCTCAGACAGGCGGGCCTTGACGTTCTCCTCGGTGGCAGAGTCGAGGGCTGCCTCGGTGGCAGAGTCGAGGGCTGCCTCGCTAAGCACAATAATATGATCCTGCGCCAGTCCCAATCTACTATTGAGTACTTTGCTCATCTCAGCTGGCGAATCACGCCACAGCTTGTCCGTTCCTGGAGTCAAAGGCAAAAAAAGCAGAGCGATGGTATGAGTATGGCCTCTGGAAGAACTGTTACGGGCGATTCACAATACGACTTTTTTGCGACGCGACACCCGATTTGCGACAGTTGCGAACAGACAATGCCTGTCGCGAGCTGTCGTGTACAATCGCAAGGTACCTGTCGCGGAAGTTGAAGAAAAAGTTCAACTTGTGCGACTCGCGACATACACAAATGGAGTACAGTTCCTACTTCAGATGCATGCTCAGTATACAGTAAGACCTCGCTTAACCGCACACATCCGTTTTCCGCAAAAATATCCAGATAGGCGAGGGAACTGGATAATCGAACACACATACTGTATGTATGCATGGCATATGCTGTAAATCGGTGACCAGCGATTTTCTTCCGGCTGGCGAGGGATCCGGATAAAAGAGGACCGGATAAAACGAGGTCTGTCTGTACGTGCACAGTACATGCACTGGATAGGGATGTCGCTAAAACGTAAAACATTGCGAATCGTGTGTTGCGGTCGCAGCTCGTCTCAGGTGTCGCAAGTTGCATGTCGCGTCACGAAATTGGTATTGTGAATCGGCCTTCAGGCAGAGGAAGTATTTTCTCTTATAAGCGCTGTGCTTATATTTTGTTGACAGCCCTCTGCCCCGTGCTTATGCTGGGGACCGTGCTTATATTATTTGTTCAACCATTAGCTCCGTACAGAGCAAGAAGA